CGTGGTGAATTTCGTCACTCAGTGTAACGGAAGGGGTAAAATTATTAATGGAACAAAATTTTTTGAAATTAATCTCTAAAAAAAAAAAAAAAAAAAAAAGTGGCCATATATGTCTCTTTTTGGAATAAGAATATTTTTCACGCTTGCTTAATCTGAAAACTAGCGTGAATTAAGAGGGGGGAAAAATGCTAAAAACATGCTCAATGATGATCGGTTCCAAATAATATTCAAATAGTACTACTAGATAAAAAGGGTACTATTTTTTTTGCCCACTTGCATGCTTTAGAATAGCGAGCGTAGTTGACTAATGTAAGGGCCTAGTACTGTAGATGCTTGGCTTTGATGACGTACGTGAAGGGCATGTATGGAGGAGTACCTTACAATAGACAACGGCACCAAAAGGTGGCCACCACATTATCTTGTCGTTGAGCTTTTATTGATGGACACCATAAAAAGAAATCTACAAATATGAGTGATCATCGCTTCATAATTCCATCATATTAAATAAATTTTCATGTAAAATTATATGGACAATAAATTTTTCTCTAATAATTTAATAGGTTTTATTTTTTTGGCTAATTAAAAGTGAATAAGTGTCTTAATTTCCATCTAAAAAAACAAAAACAAAAAAAGCAAAATTAATGGCATCTTAGTTCAGTAACCACTTAGCAATTTATTGAGATCACGGAAAGAAACTTGATCCATACTTTCAGGAACTAACATATTTTAAAGATCTTAAAATACGATATTAAATCAAGTTATAGTTATATTCGGCATGTTGATAAGATACATAACTTTTATCTCACGGATAATAAAAATCTCATTATGTCACTAGTAAAAGTGATAATTTTTAAATAGATCTTATAAATAGTATTATTAATATGTGAATAATAATTAGTTAAACACGAGCGTAGATGAATATTTGTACTTACAATATTTATTGATACATGTATCAAATAATGATACATAACAATGTACAACTATGCAACACTCTGTTGGAGGGGCGTGGAACTGACTAAACATTGTCACCAATTATTTACATATCATGTACTATACGATGTAGACAAAAGTCTTATCACGATTCATCTATCAGTTTCTCTTTTTCTTTTTCTTTTTCTTTTTCTTTTTCTTTTTCTTTTTTTCTTAGGATGGTTTGCGTAAATTTGCTAAAGTGAGGGCCAAAAAACCAAACGCACACAAAGAGCAAAAAGTGCAAAAACAGGATAAGTATAAAAATATCAAATTATGATACGGAAAGAACATATTACACGCGCGCACAGCAGCCCTCATAGCGACATGCAAAAAGATGAAAACTTTACAAAAAATTCTCACATAAACACAGTGAAACCAAACATCGTCGGCTGGCCTTAAAGCTCGGCGGGAAAAAGAAGAAAACATCAGCCAAAGCCTTATCCCAAAAATTCTCTCTCTCTCTCTCTCCTCTCTCTCTCTCTCTCTCTCCATCATTGCCAACTTCTACGCTCCAAAATCATCAACTCCCCACGGAATCAAATGCCCATCATACCAAATCATTTGTGGGGGCCATATGTCTCAGCCCTTTCTCTAATGGGTACGTGTCACTCATTTTGTCTTGACACATTAGCCAAAGCTAATATCATTTTCTAAATGATAATTTATACATGACAAATTTATTAATCCGAATTTTTAATTTATATTAAAATATAATTTTATATGAGAAATTTTTATTTTAATAAAAAAAATTAAATATAATTATTTTTAAAATTTTTTTACTATAATAAAATTTAAATTATAAATTAAAATTGATAAAATAAACGTGACTATAATGACTTGAGAACCACCCTTTTTATTTTTTTGTGAAGCTTAATGTGTTTAGTTAATTAATTATAATTTTAGACGGGTCACTATTGATGATTTGAAGAGAAAGATTAGTTAAAGTTTTAATTTAATTAAAAAGGGAGTTGAGATTATACCCAATCATGCATGTCTCTAAAGTGAAAGTATGAAAGGGTAAACAAATTAATATTAATTGTGACGTGTAATTCAGTTGATATTCACCAATATATCAAAGTCAATGTCTACCAACCTAATTAGGTCCCTGTTTTTTTTTTCTGTCTAAAGGCTATCAACTTAACTTGCTTTTTGGTCATGTTCAAGCCACACGCTGACAAAAGTTTTGGATAATCCTTTTAATAAAATCTTTTTTTACAATATTTCTCATACACTAAAAAACATACAATTTATAATAAGAGTATGATTGCAATAACGTTGTTATGAGATACTAAGCTTATTTGGTTTGGGTTCAAATCATAGTTTGAATCAAATTTAAATTTTTTAAGAAAAAATATTGTAGTAAAAATTTTTAAATATATTTATCTTTTGTGAGAGAAAACACTGTTTGAATTAAATTAAAGACTTTTTCTAGTGTTCTCTGTTATAAATTTGGTTAAAAGTCAAATCAGATTAAAAAAAATACAGATCTGACGATTAATAAATAAAGAACACCGGTGTTAAACAAAAAAAAAAAAAGAAACACCAAAAAAATTTCTTTAAAATTAGAGGGTTTGAACCCTTCCACCAAATATGAACCGAGTAATCAACGCTAAGAGATTGCTTGCTTGTTGTTACTCATCTGGTAGTCAATTAGAATTCCCTGGTCAAAAAAACAGAAAAGAAAAGAAAATTATATACTTTAATTGGGTCAAGAAGAAAATTCTCAATACTCTACAATCAGTTCCTTGACCGTGTGTGGATGGCGGTTCAACCATTCTTGGTTTACCAAGTTGGTTTTACTTGTCATACTATTGTTGACAATGAAATAATTAAATCAATAACCATAACTTCTGGCAATTAATTAATAGATATACGTATTATCTCTTTAACCCCCTTCATAAACTAATCATTTTCCCCCCAGTCATTAATTGACGTCTAATATAAAGGTCATAAATAATAAACTAAACTAATCTTACTATACCAATAATTTTGAGAGAGTGTTTGCTTAGACGAAATTCCTCATTTTCCCACTTATATATATATATATGCTTTTTTTTTCTCTCCCTCTAAATATACCGTCTTAGGTAGTATTATTCATTATTTACCCATCATAGTTATTACTATTCATTATTAAAAAGAATACACTTTCAATTGCCATAATATCAATTTTTTATATTAGATATATAACTACAAACGAAAATATAACTATTAAAAACTCATATATATATATATTATATTATTCAAATATATATATTTTATTCATTATTAAAATGAATACACTTTCTGATTGCCAGTTAGTTTGAGATCACTTAGAGAGCGAAAAGATTATCTCCTATAATTGTGGCCATTATGTTCATGATGAAAACTATTAGTGCACCACATCATTCTGATCTATGACTGGTCCGGGGGACACCATCAAACAGTTGCTCTCAAATTAATAATTTTGCCCCGAAAAGGTTACATATATATATATATACACATATATGCATATACATATATACATATACATATATATATATATATAGTTGATGATGATAAGCAATAGAAACAACTCGTGCAAATCGCTATTGTTTATTTACCTTTAGACATTATTTTAGGTATATCATGGTTTATGGGTGACCTAACTTCTCATCAGCATCGCCGACAAAGCATTATTGAAAGTGTATACTGTACTAGTATAGAGAGAGAGAGAGAAAAGTAGGTCCCAAAACCAAGCTAATCAACTTTCTAGTTAAGCAAAGATCGGATTCTTGTTGATGAATCATATTCTGGCACCATTATATCTCTTTGAATTAAACTCCAATTGTGTCTTTTACCTACCTTTTCTTTTTCTTCCTGGCCCTTTTATTTATTGAATTTTCTTTTCTCGCACAACAAACAAGAAAACAAAGAAACCACACTAATCATACCATGCTAATTATAGTGCACATCCCTTTCTAATTATCTCTACCACATTCATAAGCAAAGAAAATAATAATAAAAACCGCCCACCAATTCTCATTAAATTAAAAGCAAAAAAAGAAAAAAAAAAAAAAACAACGCAATATCGGTAAGCAATAGGTGACATGGTATCCATCTTTTAGCCTAGTTGAAGCAGACATGGAATGGGAGACAGTTCATGTGGTCTGTTACAAAAACGGAACTTAGTATTAATACCCAATCATAGCCTTTCAGTTTTTTTTTTTTTTTAATTTATTTATCATGGCAATCACCTAAAGGCGCAATCTTTGAATGAATACAACAAAATATCCACTAGTGTACATAATATTATTGCCAATAACTGTTCAAGAAACAGGAAAAATGAAAACTGGGTGGGAAAAAAATTAAGTTAAAGAAATGGGACCTTCTTCGGTAAGGATATGGTCAGTTTTTAACTGTTAAATCTGATCAAAATCATATCAAATTAAAAGAATATACAAAATAAACATAATTTTCTGATACATATCTAGCGACTAAAAAATAGAAAACTAACGGTAATTTATTTTATTTAGTTCTATCTTAAAAACTCCCGAAATAAAAGAAATTATCAAAAGTGGACAAAATAATTGGCAAGTTCTTTATACTTTTTTTTCTTTGTGAAGATAATAATAATAATTGGCACATATAAGTCCACCCATTGTTTGTGTATATATTATGTGTATGTGCATAAATAATCGTAGGTTTATTTAGGTACATCAGAAAAAGAAAGTGGTGAGAATAGTTAAATTTGGCACGTTAATGGGTGGCGAGGAGTGAGCGAATCACCCTCTTGATGTGTTTCTCACTGCCATGTGAATTGTAGGATTCTACTAATCTCATTAGAGAGAAGAACAGAGAAAGAGAGATAGATTGTCCTTTTTTGTTTGTTATAATAATGGAGATAACAGTAGTGGGGTTCAAATGGTCAACCTATGTAGCGAGATAGAGAGGGACTTTCATTTTAATGTTTTTTTAATTTTTAATTTTTTTTTGGTTTGCCCTCATTACCCAGATTCGTTTCTCTACTCATTCTTTGCTTTGATTAATAATCATAGCCACCCACCCACCCACCCAAATGCCCCCACAAAAAGTCTCATTCATTCTCTCTTCCCCCCTCTTCTTAAAACCCTTTTGCTCCCTTAACTTTCAACCCACAATATTTTCACACCAAAAAAAAAAAAAAACCAAAAAACAATCTCTCCTCCCCCTTCTTATTCTGAATTCCCCAAATGGGTTTTGATCACGATCACGTTTGCAACACAGGCCTCGTTCTAAGGTTAGGTTTCTCACCGACGACCGCGACCGCGACCGCGACAGCGGCTAAGAAGCCGAGTACGACTACTAACAGTAGTAGTACTCCTTTTGAGCCTTCTTTATTAACTTTGGGCCTCTCCGGCGGTGGAGATGAGGCTCATGACAACAACAACAACAACAACAACAGCAGCAGCAACAATAACAACAACAGAAAGATTATTGATGTGAGCAAAAGTTTCCACGATCATCATCTTCATCAGGAACCAGTACAAAACAACAATAATAGTAACAATAACATTAGTGTTCACGACAACAGCTTGTACCGCCAAGCGTCGCCTCACAGCGCGGTCTCGTCCTTCTCCGGCGGAAGGGTCAAGAGAGAGAGAGATCTCAGCAGTGAAGAGATTGAGGTTGAGGAGAAAGTTTCCTTATCTAGAGTTAGTGATGAAGATGAAGATGGTACTAATGCCAGAAAGAAGCTTAGGCTTACCAAAGACCAATCTGCCCTCTTGGAGGAAAGCTTCAAACAACACAGCACTCTCAATCCTGTAATTAATTTCTCCTCTCTCCATTAATATATATATATATACATATATTATATATAGGGGAATATTTAGCTAACAGTCATATTTGTGTGCATCAACAGAAACAAAAGCAAGCTTTAGCCAGACAGTTGAATCTTCGGCCAAGACAAGTTGAAGTATGGTTCCAGAATAGGCGAGCTAGGTAACTATTGAAAACTCGCTTATATATATGTTATATTGTTGTATAAAAGTATAAAAAAAACCCAGATCATTTAAATTAGTGCTTTGAAGAAAGAAAGAGAAAACCTAGGATCTTTTCTGTGTATTCCAACAAAAACCCTAAAATGTTTCCTGGAGGATATGATTAAGCGATTATTATTTGTGTTCTTTTTCAGGACAAAGCTGAAGCAAACAGAAGTGGATTGCGAGTTCTTGAAGAAGTGCTGCGAGACATTAACGGATGAGAACAGAAGGCTACACAAAGAGCTACAAGAGCTCAAGGCTTTGAAACTAGCGCAACCCTTGTACATGCACATGCCGGCGGCGACGCTCACCATGTGTCCGTCGTGCGAAAGGATCGTCGGCGGCGTCGGCGGCGATGTCGTTGGCGGTTCGGCCAAGAGCCCGTTTTCCATGGCTCCTAAGCCACACTTCTATAATCCCTTCACCAATCCTTCTGCTGCTTGTTGATCATTAGGGTTGTTATTATTAGGACATATCGTAGGAAAAGAAAAGAAGACAAAATAAAAAAGATTGTTCCTCATAATATTCATGAGAAGGACCATGACCCCTATATTTTTTTTGGTTAAGGGTTTGTAATGGAAGATCATTAGTGTAATTAATTTTAGAAAAAGAAAAAAAATAGTAGCTACTGATCATGATCAAATTTTACCTTTTCTTTAATTTCTTTCCTTTTAATTAATTATGTGTTTGTAAATTGTTAAACAATATATATATATATATGAAGGAATTATGATTAGTATTATTTAATTTTTCATCTTTTGTGCAATTTCGATCCTTTTAATTGAAGGATTTGTATACTTTTTCATTTTGTTCTTTGATTGATATATTGGTTTTGAATATAAAGAAAGAGCAAAAAATTCGCGTGAAGATTTATTTCGATTAGTCGGATCATCGATAATATATTATTTTAGATAAGGAGACAAACTAAACATGTATATTATATATGTTTATGCAATGTTGTCTCATGCATGAGTTAGTAGAAAGATGTAGTGGAAGAAGCCCGTATTGCCATGTATATAATGTGTACGAAATCCTTATCTACGTCATGTAAGCATACCTTTTTTTTTTTTTTTTTTTTATTGTTTTTGCTAGTTAGTCATGTAAGCATACTTTGTGTGACATGAATTTAAAACTCGATCAAACAAAAAATCTGTGGTTAATTTTGTTGCTTAAAGTCGTCGACTTTATAATTATTAATAATTGTCAGCCTCCAAATTAATCATCGAGTATTTAATAAAATATCTGACTCGTACTAATATGAGTCACACCACATTCTTTGCTTTTCAGTGTCTTAGAAAAGAAGAAAGATTGGATAAAGATAAAGAAACGATCTTGAGGTCATGAATAATAATTAAATTTTAATTAATGAAATAATAATGACCGGAAAAAAAATATATTATTGAAGTCTATGATAATGTTGAAGGGATAGAAGTGGGGCTGTGGAGGGTGTGGGACGTTAGCTCACGTGTATTTGTCTGTAATTCAGTTGTTTAGAGAGAGAAAAACAAGAGAGAGAGAGAGAGAGAGAGAGAGGAAAGAGTCTAAAGAAATGGGTGGTGAGAAGGCGTGTGGAGAAAGAAAGGAATGGATGATTCACTTGAAAAACAAAAGAGGAGAGAGAGAGGAGAGAGGAGAGAGAGAGATGGACTTATAGTTGTGATCACGTGACAGGCTAGGCCTTTAAGGGAACCAGTGGGTCACAACCCCACGTGATGTACCATTGGTTCTCCTTTTAACCCTCACAAAATCTCATCATGGGATTTTCCATGAAAGTCAGACTGCTTCCTTTCTATTCAATGTATGGGCCCACAAAGACCCCCATGAACCATCTCACCTCCCTCGTTATTTATTTGATTAAGATCTCATTTATTTTATTAATTTAAATTTTTAATTATAAGTTTTTATAATAAAATTTTTTTAAAAAATATCACATTTAATTTTTTTTGTTACAGTAAAAATTTTTTAAAAAATATCACATTTTAATTTAAATTAAAAAATTTAAATCCATAAAGTGAACGAGACTTAAAATTCTCATAACCCATCTGAAAAAGAAAAAGAAAAAGAAAATCTAGATAGATTTATATTCTAATCTTTCTCTCTCTTTCTTACAATAATAGAACGCATCTTATGTACTTCTAGGATACTCAAATCCGACGGTCCAAATTGATGGTTAATTTCATGAAAGTTACACACACATATATATACATAACATATATATATATATATGTGTGTGTGTGTGTGTATACACGTCATAGGCACGCTATCATGATTGGTGGAGATGGTACCTGAATGATGAGAAGGTTCTCCTAAAATACTCCACATATCACTTATATTCGTGTGGACCTTTTATTGTACAAATCATGAGAGGGACTTTCCCGGGAAAGAAGGCACTTTCCCGGAAACTGCTTTGTCTTGTGGTCTCATCATCACTTTCATCATCCCGCCTTTGTTTTTCCATCAGCATCATCATCATCATTGCATGAACTCTTCAACCCCCTTTTGAATTCCAACCTTCATGAAATTAATTAATTATTAATCATCTCTTTTTCAATGCTAGAGAGTGCGAAAGCTGATCAATTACAACTACTTCTTTTTCTTTCTTGTTAATTGGCTTTTAGCAATTTTAGAAAATCTGTCCCTTGCCCCTTAGTCTTAAGATATGATTACAAATAACGCCAACCCTTGTTTAGAATTAATCATCAGTATGATTTTTTCTTTCTTTTTTCTTTTTTATTGGCCACAAGATATATTTGTCTCAAGACCGCGTGTGAATAAAACCACCAAAGTTGCTTTATTATCTAAGATATACGTTTTACGTGTGCACCCACGTAATATGATATATATACTATTAATTATTAGAGAAGAAAACAGATGTCTGCTGTTGGCTTCTTTGTCGGCCTACATAGTTTCTATATGGGATTATATAATTATATATAGTGTAACTGATGAGCTGATTTCAAGCCTAAACTAATACCATTTTTTTAATGGAAACATAACCTTAATTTCAATATATATATATATATATATATATATGTATATGTATATATAGAGAAAAAGAAAATATCAAACTTGAGCGTGGGTGAGAAGTAAACATGGATACGTATTCATTGGTTTCAAACGTGATTTAGGTGAAGAAGATAAAAATCTATTTGGTAAAGCCAATCATGAATAGCTTGTGACTAATGCACGCGGAAATGAATACAATATCGATATCTATATATATATATATATATATCACGCGACTTTAGCCAAATCTTTGAACAATTATGAAAGTTTCATTTTGACTTGGAAAAAAAAAACTACTAATTTAATTCTTGGTCCTAGGCGAGCTATTAATTAGATATAATTATTGCCAATTAGCCTTAGCTAATAGCTATAGAAAAAAAAAAAGAGTAAAAACTGAGCTAATAGCTAATAACTATTAATTAGAGTCTCGTTCACTCTGTAGATTCGAGTTTTCAATTTGAGCTGAGATATGATATTTTTTAAGAATTTTTCACTGTAATAGAAAAAGTTAAATGTGATATTTTATGATAATTTTTTACTGTAAAAACCTAAAATTAATACTCAAATCGGTGAAATGAACGATGTCTTAATAATAAAAAAACTACTAATTTAATTCTTGGTCCTAGGCGAGCTATTAATTAGATATAATTATTGCCAATTAGCCTTAGCTAATAGCTATAGATAAAAAAAAAAAGTAAAAACTGAGCTAATAGCTAATAACTATTAATTAGAGTCTCGTTCACTTTACGGATTCGAATTTTTAATTTGAGCTGAGATATGATATTTTTTAAGAGTTTTTCACTGTAATAAAAAAAATTAAATGTGATATTTTATAATAATTTTTTACTGTAAAAACTTAAAATTAATACTCGAATCGGTGAAATGAATGATGCCTTAATAATTTACTCTTGGAGCAGCCTCGTACGTAGACTTGTTGTACGGTTATAAGCTTATGATATGTGACTAGTAACTGCCTTAACTATTGGTTCAGCTTTATTTCTATGTACACTAATTGTTACATTTATGGGTGAACAAAAATTCGCCGCTCATCTAGATATATAGTAGATAACTAGATATTTAATTAGCCAAGCCGACCTAGATTTAGTGGTAAAAATGTGGTCCACCAAGGTTGCACATAGAAGTCAAATGTTATAAATGGGGGGCTCCATGTTGCTCTCAAATGTTGGGCTGCAAAATCCTAGGGGAATTAAGAAAGGAGATAGAGCATTTTAATGCAACTTCAACTAACTAATACATAATGTACCTTTATTTGAAGTGTATTCTAGGCTCTAGCTAGACGAGGATATAAATAATTCATGTTAATATGTTATATATATATATATATATATAACCTATGAGCAAAAAAAAAAAAAAAAAGAGGTGGGGAAAAAACTAGAGAGGCTAGGATGAGGTTTGCTTTTTTAAATAAAACTTGAAGAAAAAAAAATGTTTGAAATGAAAAAGGTAATTCAAAGATAAATCATAGACAAAACCTACACAATTGGAAACACAATATTGATAACCCATCGGTTCAATTATAAGTAAACTCGAATGAAATGTTCAAGTAGAAATAATGTAGGCCAAATTACACGTTCTTCTCTTGAATTATAGGCATTGTCACAAAATGCCCGCTGAATTTTAATTTTAACTTTTTTCCCTCCGAATTTAAGCAACTTTTGCAAATTTTCCTTGTAAATTCTTACTTGTGTTATTGCTGTTGGCCTCAATTGATGAACCTCTAAGGTTCTTTAGGTTAAGTAAAGTAAGAGAAAGTTGGTATAGTAAAAAAAATGACAACTCCTACTATGTAATTGTACTTTTGTGTGATTAAATGTGGAGGAGTTAACAAAGTAATTTTATACTAAAAATGATTTAACGACACTCATTCTTTGTGTGATATATGTTATTTTTGTTAAAAATATTAATATAAGGAGTTTTTTTTTTTGTTAGTTTTTACATTTCACGTGATCTTTTCTGCAAAAATATAGTTGAGGGGGAAAATGTGTAAAAGTTATTGAAGTTCGGGGAGAAAAAAAAAACAAAAATGAAAATTTGAAAGTATTTTGTGACAAAACCTATAGTTTGAGGGGAAAACGTTTAATTTAACCAATAATGTATATAAAGAAAAAACATCTAAAAATACACCAAAAATCGAACATACAATGACTCTTTAATACGAAGGCCACGCAAAATATCTCAACGAAAGAAATTCTGCAAATGAAAAAGATAACTAAACGCTAAAAAAATGGTGTAAAAGACAAGCTAATAGGGGCAACTGTTATTATAAACGAAAGATAAAATAATAAACATGCCAGAATATCAAAAACACTACAAAGAGTGAGACTCTTCAGCACAAGTGGCAGAAAGTGGCATAGAAGACAAGTAGTTGGAAAAAATGCCCCAACAATGAAGAGGTCTGAAGTTAAGGCGAAAACCTATAAAGAGCAAGTAGTTGTAAAAAATGCCCCAACAACGAAGAGGTTTGAAGTTAAGGCGAAAACCTATAAAGAGTAAGCTGAGATGAAGTGAACGTTTGGTTCACAGATTCAGAACCATAATTCAGAGTCATTTTCAGTTTACGTGTGTTTTTTGTGAGAGAAAATGCGAGTCACGAACTATAGCACGAATC